AATGGCTGAAGTGGGGATTTGTTTTGCTTGACTGTTGTTACAAGGGTTTTGTTTTTGTTTTTGTTTTTGTTGTCTTTTCAATTTGTAGAGGGGAGTGGGGGGAAGAAGAGGTGGGTTAGGGATAGGGGTTACTGAAAAAATAAATAGAAATGAAGGAAAAGAGAGTCAGGGTTTTTTTAATGTATAGAAAAGAACAGAAGAAAGGTCAGAAAGAATCATGGACAAGAAGCTCTGGAAGTTTCACGTTGAATTTCTTATCACTTAGCCTACTGGGGCAAAGAGATCATGTGTAGAATGTATTTAAAAAGAACCATATGTAGTAAACATATGCAGTATCCTGTTTGGCCCTCTTTTCCTCTTTTGCTATTTATGGAGTTTGTGTTTATGGAACTGCTTGTTTTACTTGGTGTTTAATTTCAGAATAAATAAAATTATACAAAAGTCTGCAAGAGTCTTCTGCCTTTCTTTTCTTCCTCTCAGTCATATCTTCTGCTTCCCGTCACATTCCTAGTCAGCTGTATTCTGCCCCTTCCTCTCTTCCCCCCTGCTTTGCCCATTCTTTTTGCCATCCTGAGCAGCAGCACTTTGCTTTTCTACAACTCTCCCTTTCTGAGTTGGTTTCTTCATCTAGTCTCCATGCAATCCAGTTTCCTTTCTTGGACATGGGGGAAGGGAGGGTGTAAGGACTTACTGAGCCAGATGGCATTAGTGAGGATTACAGCTGTTCCTGTCCTTTTTTATAAGGCTGCAGTGTCAGGCAGAAGTGAGGGGTTATTCTGCTGTATTTGTGCCTTGAGGCAAAGGTTCTTAACCTTTTTTTGTGTCAGGGACCCCTTTGGCTGTCTGATGAAGCCTATGGATCCCTTCTCAGAATGATGTTTTTAATTGGAAAGTAAGAGAGTGTCCTGTTGGGGGATGGCTAAATAAATTGTGGTATATGAATGCTATGGAATATTTTTGTGCCATAAGAAATAATGAAATGGACAATTTCACAGGAAACTAGGAAGACCTTTATGGACTGATCTAGAGTGAAGTGAACAAAACTTTTTGTTCAGTCGTGACCCCATTTGGGGTTTTCTTGTCAAAGATACTGGAGTGATTTGCCATTTTCTTCTCCAGCTCTTTTTCCAGAGGAAGAAACTGAGCCAAATAGGGTTAAGTGACTTGTCCAGGTCACACAGCTCTAAGTGTCCAAGGCCAGATTTGAACTCATGAAGATGTCTTCCTGATTCCAAGCCTAGTGCTCTATCCACTGCACTGCATAGCTCCCTGAATCAGAACCAGGAGAACAATTTATACAATAACATTATAGAAAAAAAAACCAACTATGAAAAACTTTAGAACTCTGATCAATGATAAAACATGAGGGCAAAAGAATGAAGATGAAACATGCCACTTATTTCCTGAAATAAAGTTAATGTAGTTAAGATGCAGAAAGAGAAATGCCTTTTTGAACTTGGCTAATGTGGAAATTTGTTTTGCCGGACTGTGTGTGTGTGTGTGTATAACATAATGTTATGCACACACATATATGCATATATATTTAGATAGATTTTTTTTAATTGCTCAAGGCAGGGAGGGTTGGTAGTGGAATGGATAGATTATTTTTTAAAAATGCTTGTTACTTGAAAAAAAAAAGTAAAACAAATGCCAGATCTTTAAATTCAAAAAAATTTTTTAAATACATCAAATAGGTACGTAGGATTGTAAAGAAAGCTAATTATACTGAAATATAGTTATCAAACTATTTTAAAAAAACAAATTCATGGACCCTAGGTCAAGAACCCCTAAGGTTTGAAATCCTCTGCCCCAGGGCTAGCTCCTGGTTACTCAGATGTTCAAAACCCTGCTGAGGGTCACAGAACTCATTTTCTTCTTTAGCACAATATTTTCAAGGGATTGATTTGAATTTATAAAAATAATTATGAAAGAAATGTTATTGAGAAATGTGAGTCCTCAGCCTCACTCATCACCTAACCCCTATGATTTTTTGAGGGGGGTACGGCTGTCTTGTGGGTTTTCATTGGTAACTCTGTCTCACCCCTGCTTTCGCCCTCCAAACTGAGATCTAGTCAGATTCTTAGACTACTTTTCCTTGGACTTGACATCTGAGATGAAAGGAGAATTTAGAGCATTGCCTAGGAAGTACAGAGAGAGAACCTTTGCCCTAGTCAAGAAGACTATATTGGCATGCCAAGTGTTCTCTGGCCCAGTGCAGGGGGAAAGTCCTAAGCAAATCAGGATTTACTTCTGCTTTTAAAGTTTTTCTGCAGCAGCGACTTTTTTTTTCGTACTTGAAAGTGCAAATTAGAAACTAGACAAGTCAGAGAAGGAAAACTGAGTGCAAAAGAAGATGGAATTTAAGAAATAGGACCCCTTACCTCCTGCACTGAGGCTCTGTTCTCAGGGGAGCCACTTAAGGCCTGGGTGTCAGGATGATTGCAACGAGTCCTAGCTTGGGGAAGTGGGTGAGGGCTAGAGCTCCATTAAAGGAGAAAACATTTCCAGTTAAACATTCTTAGAGGGACTGGGGCATTTTGACTCTCCTCTTCTTTCCACTTTTGTTAGCTTTGCCTAGAGAATTCAGACAAAGCCAGGGGCTTGGGAGGAGGGAAAGCTTAGTTCCTAAAATACCCTTTGATTGACACTGGGCAGTTGTTATTTTTCCATAATAGAGAAATGGGAGAAAATGGGCTTATCTGAAAGAAGGAAAAAAAGGAATTAAGAAGTTCCTGCATGAGCATGCATTTGGGAGAGGTGCTGATGGAAGAGAAAGTTTTAAGAATAAATAAATCTGAGTGTACAGTGTGTATGTGCATAGCATGCCTCTACTTTCAGGATCCAGACTTTCTCCTCCACCCTCAAACCCATCAAATGGAGGAATGGAGATGGAAAGTGATTTCACCATACACTAGAAAAAGTGATGACTCTGTAGTCAGAAGTCCTGGGTTCAAATTTACCCTCTGATGGTCTTCCAGTATGACCTTGAGCAAATCACTCCCCAGGCCTCAGTTTCCTTCTCTGTAAAATAAGTGGGTCCATCTAGATCTCTGTGATCTCCTGATTTCTATACTCTAAGCTTCTAAGTCCCAAACCAATACACAGAAGACGTTGTTTGTCCTTTAATTCTATGCTATAAAGTGTAGTTTCCCAGCCCCCAGGAGTTTATCCCCTGGGTGACAGAAGGAGGAACCAAGACTGGTTGGAGGAAAGGGTCAGGCAGGATAGGGTAAGTGACTGGCTCTAACCCAGGATCAGGAGAGGGCTCAGGTATCCAGATCTTGGAGAAGGGCATCTGCCATTATCTGCACAGGAGAAATCCTAGCCATTTGCCCCCTGCACACTAATGGCTATGAAGAAGGCTGTTTTGGGAGGCCCATTCTGCCAGGCATAAAGAGATATTGCTAATGAGCCCAGGACTGGGAAATCAGGAAGCCTGGGTTCTAGGACTGAATGTTTACTACTAAATGGCTAAGAGACCTGGGGCAAACCATTAACTTACCTGAAAGAACTTCCTCTATACAATGAAGGGAGTGGACTGTGTGATCTCTAGGAGATCTATTTTATTATTTTTCTGGATAACAGCAGGACCCAATATTGGAAGAAGTCATGAGGCCGAGAAAGGAAAAGGCAACCTAGAGGACTCAGTGGAAAGCTACCATGCTATCCCCATGCTTTTGGGGGATTTTCCACTGAATTTGGGTTAGGAATAGAGGCCCCTGAGCCTTGTGTATTCTTGTGTCCCCCCATCTTTAGTATAGTGCCTGACATACTTATGTTGTTGAGTCGTGTCCGACTCCATGGACTTTGTCCATGGGGTTTTCTTGATAAAGATACTGGAAAGGTTTGCCATTTCCTTCTCCAGTGTGCCCCCATTTTACAGATGAGGAACTGAGGCACATAGGGGTTAAGTGATATGCCCAAGCAGCTAATAAATGTCCGAGGTCGAATTTGAACTCAGATCTTCCTGACTCCAAGCCTGGTGCTCTTTCCACTGCACCACCTAGCTGCCCCGCCTGGCATATAAGTGCCTAATAAATGATTTCTGATTGATCAGTTTTCTTTTCTCTAAAACAAGGGGTTGGACTCGAGTCTTCTAAGGTCCCTTTTACTCCAAATCTATGATCCTACAGTCCTATGACTGACACCTTTCCTCCCCCAGCTTTCTCTTCGTTCCCTCCCTCCCTCTAGAAGGAGCACAAGGTAGGGCCGAGTTACAAGTTCTGGATAGCTCCCTCCCAGCTCCTAATTGGAGAATGCGCAGTCTGCTCGGGTCCCGAAATAAAGCGGAGAAGGCAATACCTGTGAAAGAAAAACGTACACTAGAACACAGGGGGTTTTGTTCAGGGGGAATTGACTAAAAAGGGAGAGAAACAAAGAACAGGGCGAGGTCCTTCGGGGGCTCCTCTCCCCCATCTCTCTCTCTCTCTCTCTCTCTCTCTCTCTCTCTCTCTCTCTCTCTCTCT